TTTCTCAATGTTATGGTATGCTGGGTCTATATCGTCCCCACCAAAAGCGTCGGCATGTCCACTGAGAAGAAGAGCGGCAGCGTTTCTATGGACGGGTAAGGCGAACAGCGAGCGTTTTATCTCTAAAGTAGCATGGAAACATGTAACTAGGCCCAAACAGCGGGGGGGTCTGGGGGTGCTAGACCCCGATACCCAGCTTAATGCGCTGCAGACTAAATGGCTAGTCAAAATAATCATGCATCCGAGACTATCGTGGACACCTATGGTAATGGAGAGGATTAGACAAATGGCTAAGTACAAAACACCAGGTAACATGTCAGGCCAGTTTTGGGTAATGTGTGGGAATTGGGCCAAGGTTGGTACCAGGGAGGGGTTAAACACGGACCAAGTAGACGTAATGAGGAACTCTGAATACTGGATTCAGCTCCTTAAGCTCTGGAAGGACATATTTCCGTCGAGGGTAAGAGAACCAACTTCAAGGGAAGAGGTTCTCAGACAGCCTCTATTTTGTAATTCAAGTATAAAGGACGGCCAGGGCAAACCATTGACGCTTTCAGTCAAAGACACTAAATGGGGTAGGTGGCTAGAACATGGGGTATGGCAGGTCAAACACCTTTGGAACGACGAAGAGAAGAGGTGGAAAACACTTACGGAACTAAGGACACATCTGAAGGGGTGTCACAGACTGCAAGAAAATCTAAGAATCGTCCTACAAGCCATACCAAAAGAGTGGATGCTTCTGCTGCAGGCGGGAACGAAGTGGGGATTGGGAGATTGGGTTACATGGGTAGATGAYGAGGAGCCTAAGGTGGTCTTCAGAATATGGGGGGTAGAGCCCTCCAGACCAGACTGGTTAATCGCGGATAAATATGASATAYCGCARCTTTCCATCACCACGTCCCAGCTAGACAGCGCAACAAAAGCACYGATTTATATCCTCAAGCASTATGTGCGRAAAGTGAGGGTGGTCGAGACAGAGACATTCACATTATATAATCCAACAGTACMAATAACAGATCTCGAAGTGGACCCGGCGGAATGGGCGTGGAATAKCAGAGGTGGTCAAAGGGGAATATCTAGAAGAGTAAACATTCTACWCTRCACCACAAGAATAGGGTACAAATTGAGAAGGCGTTCTATTTCCATTACTCCCACATTGTTAAAGAGAYGGGAGAAGAGGGTAGGGGTGGCCYGAGGACAATTGYCTTCYTTCCCTTGGTYTAATTTGGGGGCGATACRGCTGGGCTCTGTCAGAAGCATGCAATGGCTTATAGCCCATGTAGCACTCCCTGTGAATGTTTGGCTCAATCAACGAAGAAATAGAGGGCAGCGAAGTGACGAACAGGAGTTGTGCAAGGTTTGCCAGAGACGAATTCCTGAAACAATGCAACATTGTCTGATCGACTGTGAAGAAGCACAACGAATCTGGGAGGTGGCCAAAGACACATGGAGACAAGTAACAGACATAGCTTTTCCAGACTCAAGGATTTCCTTACTGCTGGGTTCGCCAGTTCCCAAGCAATGGCAACCTTTTCAGAAACATATGTTCCAGCTAACAAGACAATACGCCCTATGGACCATTTGGAAGCGTTGATGCCAAATCATGATAGAGGGCACAATAATGCATAGACATGAAGCTAAGGAAATCTTCTTATCCCTCATCGAAACACACCGCCCTGTGGAAAGCGGTAAGGAACCAGGTACGCCAACAGCCGGAACAAGAGGACGAAATATTGAAAAGATTTAAGCAAAAGGTACTTGGTGACGGAGCGGTAGCATCAATCCAAGGAGTACATTTGATCTTCAAGTGGAGAGAGGGAGGGTGCTGACCATAGAATTATAGGGAAGGAAGAAAAGGGGAACGATAACTAAACAGTGGAAGGTAGGGCTTAGGGAAACAGGAGGGGCAGTGATGGATAGGGTTAAGGGCTAAAGGGTGATGCAAAGGGAACAGGACGGATACAGTAGAAAAAAGGCTTTAGGGATTAGGGGTCRCATAAGGGAAGTGGGTCTAGGGTCTAGGGGACACAAAGGGTCTGACGTAGAAAATAAGGAAGGTTTAGGAACAAAGGAAGGGCARTTAGGCWGMAAATAAACAGAGTACGACAAAAGGTTGCACAAAAGTTGGATTCAGGRTAGAMAAARGAGAAGCAGTGCTAACTTGTTGTTTGGCAAGTAAAAAGCAACAGGACAATGCTAATGCTGGTATACAGCTAAAGAGACATCAAAAGGTGTACAAGTGTACCAGAAGTCTCTTGTATAATCATAGATACCCGACAGCTTTATGGCTGAGAGGAGCAGATCTGGGATCACACAGATTGGTAGGCTGAGTAAATGCAGGCTAGATTAGGCAGGGGTGAGAGGTGGTACATCCTTCCTCACGGAAGTAATCAATGCCACCTGCTCGGGCCTCTCAGCCATAATGGGGAGGAGCGTGTGTGTGTCTTTTATGCATTCCATATTGACTTTGTCGGGGGAATAGGAACCGGACTGTCACTCCCCAGAATGGCAGGAGCCAGAACCTTGAGGTTCCGTAAAGAAAAAAAAAAAAAAAAAAAAAAAAGAAACGGACTGATGCTCCCCAGAATGGAAAGGAGCCAGGGCCATAAGGTCCTGTTATTGTTAAAAAAAAAAAGGTCCTACGAAGGGTCAGTTAGTCTAGCCTAGGTCTAAAGGTCAATAGTCAGTCGCTGAGTCAGCAAGGCAGGGTCAGCCACAGTCCCACCTTGTGTAGTCAGCAAGTGCCAAGTAGGGCGGCTCCACGAGGTTTGAGGAGTCCCACGTGTTTTGGGGGTTCTACGCGGTTTGGGCCCCACATGGTTTGGACCCAGGGCCAGAGGCGCAGCAGGCCAGGCCATCTATGAAACAGTATAAATAAATTGGCAGCGCTCAGCCATTCATTCATTTCACCTGTGAGCCATGCGGCCATGCGGAAGTGCTGCTGGAGCGACTTGTGCACTGGAGGTCTCCAGGTGCCTGAAGCTGAAGTGGGCAGAGGAAGACGACGGCGGCCATAGCTAAGAGGAGGAAGACGACGGCGGCCATGGCCGCCAGCTGCTGACGTCAACGAGAGAGCGAGAGTGTAGTTTGTGCGTGTGACGCGTGGACATTTAGGAGAGATCTTTGTGCATATGTGTGTGAGTGAGGGTGAGGCCAATGGTGGAGACATTGTTCGGTTGGGACTTCAGACAGTATTCAGCGGCCATAGCCGCAAGTTGTAATAGTTGACTTGAGCTGAGTTCCTGGCCAGAGGCCATATCCCTGAGTTTTCTGTGTGGCCGCATGTTGCCATTGCAAGTGCATTGCTGATTCTGAGTTCAGGAAATTGGTTTCTGTCAGCACATTCATGTATGCATGTTGCAAGCAAGACTGAGACAAGTCTGATTTCACTCTGGTCAACCATTCCAACAGCACCTCGCTTTGGGCAGTATCATGATAATGCGTCAATGTTGTGTGGGTGATTGGATGCATGTCCACATTACGGGAAAGCTTATTTGCAAGGAAACAAGCTATGCGAACACCAATAAACCAGATTGCAACATGTCACGGAAGAGCACTGAGCAGATATAATCGAGCTGAAACTGAAACCAGAATGCACATTGAGATCACATAAAATAGGAACAAGCAAAGCACTGAAGTTGCTTGATAATGAAAGCCCTCCCAAATGCCTCCAATGACCAAAACAACAACAATGTAGCTCCCTATTGGCAGCTATCCGCCAAATGCCTCCAATGACCAAAGCAACAACAATGTAGCTCCCTATTGGCAGCTATCCGCCCAGACTACTGACCGACACACCTATCAACCTAGCCTACTATGCTAGAACAAGTCACACTTGTCGCCAGCTGCTTGAAGACTCTGATTTGAACAGCCTGCCTTCGTCATCACCCGGTACGTGCCTTGTCACACTGCGCTCATCTCCTTCTTCTTCCCACAGCCTTCCTTCCACCAAGGACCTCCACAGCTTCCACTATGCAGCAAGGGATTGCTCAGCCTGGATATGGCTGGCACTCTCCCCTCTTCCTCGCTGCGGCTGCATAAGCTTCCTCCTCGGGCACAGCGCCCTGCTACTGCTCCAGCACCACTGCCTCATAGGCACAATGCCCGAATCTCGTGGAGGCTGGTGCCCTTCAGCCTTTTGTGCTGGCTGGAGAGGCTGAGCAGCCTATGGACTGGCTGCGCCGAGTCCCAGTTGCCTGTGCCCTGGGCCCCTTTTGGAAACTGCACCCAGGGGGGGGCTATATTCAGGCTGGGGCTCATCTTTGCAGGCCTGCCTTCACTTAGGGTTGGGTGGTCCTTTTCTTAGCATTGTCGAGGTCCAGAGTCCTCACATATTACAAGTGAAAAAGGAAAGAAAAGGGATGCTAGCCTATGGACTGGCTGCGCCGAGTCCCAGTTGCCTGTGCCCTGGGCCCCTTTTGGAAACTGCACCCAGGGGGGGGCTATGTTCAGGCCGGGGCTCATCTTTGCAGGCCTGCCTTCACTTAGGGTTGGGTGGTCCTTTTCTTAGCATTGTTGAGGTCCAGAGTCCTCACATATTACAAGTGAAAAAGGAAAGAAAAGGGATGCTAAGAAGGTAATGACTTCCCATCCCGCGGAAATCCATAAATAATGGGTGAGCAACGACCACAGCAAAACTTGAAAAAAAAAACTATTCCCTCTTGTTTTCTTTGAACTTTCTTTGGCATTCCCTTCTGTTTTTCTTTCTCTTCTTGCGAACGAAGCCAGAATAGACTGTCTAGTATACGATAGAAGAAACAAAAACCATACATCTTTTTACAAGCGTAAGCGTGTGTCAAACTGCAGTTGTGGTCACATGAAAAACGCGTAAATCCCCTTATTTCTCAGCAACTGCCAGTGTCCTCAAAATTTGAGTTCTCTTGGGCGAAGCTCTGCTGGTCTCTTGTTGTTGCAAAATATGGTACTGAATCTACTGATGTCTGTTCTTTGAACTTCTTTCTGATAAGAGATTTCTCCCTCTTCGCTGTTGTGATATTCAGGGGACTACAGGATCGCTCGAAGTTCAACAAAGGATTCGTTTCCTAATTCAAGTAAGCGGGCTGTGGACGACGTTTCTCCAGTTGTCAATACTTTTACTGAGAGAGACAGACAAGTAAAGAAGATTGTCACACCCAAGGTCAGTGGAATGATGGGAGGTCGCCTTGGCCGAATGCCTCAGGAGAAACACCCATCCAAACAACATTGCATTGCAGTGACAAAAACTGGAGCATGAATCCTCTATGCTGTGAACAAGAAGAAAAACATGCCACAGAATTCATGTGCAGTGCGCAATGCTCATGCCCATGCGCATGCAATCAACAAGAAGGATACTGTTAAGTGGATTTTGTTTCAATGATGGTTCAAACAGCAAAAAGGTTGCACAAAGAGATGGAGGGCCATTCTGGTTGTAGGTTTCTGAACAATATGGTGTGAAGTTGTGAACTGAGCTGTAGTCTCAAAAAATAAGAAATGAAACAGATCCAAGGAGGGGGAGGGGGAGGGATAATGGAGGAAGTGAGAAATGGGAAGGGGAGAGGTGCTGGGATGCTGGGAAGATGGGAAGAGTTGGTGGATAAAGGGGTAAAGGCGGTGGAATGGGGGGGGGGGAGCCGTTGCTGGGAAGAGTCGTCTGATTCCTTGTGCTATCCGATTTCGTTTTTACATTTTCTGTTGTTGCAACCAGAATGGGCTGGAACAGGTAATCTAGTCACCGACTTCAATTCCATCTTTGTTGACCAATATCGTGTCAATTGTGCGTACTTTGGGGGATGTGCACCCATTTGCCTACAGGAATGGTTCCATAAGCAGCACCTCAATCAACAGTGCAATGACTGGTCCTTCCAGCGCACTCGGTAGCACTGGTGATAGCAAAGCAAATGAGGAAAAATGAAGTTGTCACCTTGCATACTACAAGAAAGCGAAAAGCTTTTGCAACCTCCTGCAGACGAGGTTTACACACTGCGCTACCACACCACCACTGTACCTCTGCCAATTGATGCTGACACCTGATGGCGGCGAACTCTCCGAAGATGGGCGACCGCATGATCCACAGGACTCATGCAAAGCATCCTTGCAACACTCCATACGCTGGCACCACACATGGGAATATTAGAATCTCAACCTCATGTCTCTCTTACTGTTACTCCTGTCCCAGTGCTTCCCTCTGTACAGGCCCGTTTTGTCTAATGTGCTTTGCCTTGAAGCAGAAGAGGTGCAGTATCCTGGGACATCTTCTCCGACATCTGCTTACCCTGCAGGGTCTCGCACTTACTTGCCTACACCACTGATTACATAAGAGAAGGGCCCCATTGACCCAATCAGGACAGCGACCCCTGTTCCTTGCGGCACACATGTGAGTGCTGGTCATAGCAAAGAAACAAGAGAATCAAAGGCTCATCTGGCACAGCCCAGAAAGAGAAAATGTCATGCACCCTCTGGCATACGAGATTTACACATGGTGCTATGATTCAACAAACGCACAGCAACCCACCTTACCACTCCTGACCTTGTTGACACCCGATGGTGGTGGTGAGCTCTCGAAAGCTGGGCACTGCATGATCCCAAACACTCGTACAAAACATGCTTGCCACACTGTATACATTTGCAATCAACGCAAATTGATATCAGTGTGACACATTATCTCAGCCAACCTTATCTGTATCTCTTACTGTCATTCCAAGGCTCCAAGCCAAGAAAGAAAAAAGCCAGATTCTGGAAATGGCTGGCTGTAGACGCACCCAGCTGCCCCCAGCCGGACCCGACAGCTGCGGGCAGGTCTGGCTAGCCCATGTCCCACCTGCAGGTGATGGGAGGATGGCCCTGGGATGGTTTGGGGGCAATTGTGGTGAAAAAAAAGGGGCCAGTTGTGGGTGACCTTCTGTAAACAAAAAAGAAAATGGTCAGGTGTCAGCGGGTCTAGACTTGGCATGGGCCACCCACCAAAAAGATATGCATGTATGCATGCGGGGGTCTACACCCATGCCTATATATCTGTAGGGGTACCGGCCCCTATTTTTGATTTATATCTACACCTACTATAAGAACTGCTAAACGTCATATCTCACGGCCTGAATCGCAGGCCGGTAACGTGCC